TGTCTCATACCAAAATAAAATTTCTAAAGAATAAAATATTACTCCAGTATATATGTATAGAATCATCAAAGTCTAAAGTATTTTATCCCCCAAAAGTTTCACCCTAAATGGACCACAAAATCCAAATCCATCACCACATAATCTTAACAGTCCATTAATCCTATTAAACCCAATCCTAATATTATTAATCCCAATCTTAATATTATTAATCCTAATATTATTAGCAATAATTTAAAGCAGCATAGTGACAGTGAAGTGAACAGCAAAGGTGACGAAGGCTGACAATCGCATTAGAGCGAACATTAATCAAGGGTTGCAAGGACAGAGCAAACGTAACCAGCCAGTGTCTGACGTCTAACTCAAGGATAGGTTGAGAGGAAATTAGTGTTCGTTCGTGGCCGAACAGTCCTTGGTATGCTTGGTACTTTCGGGGATGTACTTGGTCGAGAGAGAGAGAAGGGGCGTCTTAGCGTTATTGGTTTTACCCTCGAGACGCGTACAGAGGGGTTGCTCCTTAAATGGAAGCCGTGGAACGACAAGAGAGAAACTGGAAGGGTCGAGAAGTGGGTTTCTGAATGCCTCTTTCCTGCCACCGACAACGAGACTACTTCGCTTAAGTAATTAGACTGCCGGCCGTTCGTTACCTCACTCATTTCTGAACGCGAGAAACTACTGGGCTATGTTGTTTTCTTCGGGATGCTTTACGTCTATATATTTTTCTGTTTTATGGAGATTAATTACTTCTTTTCGAGCATTTGGGTAATTAGGATGTTTGTAGGATTTTATATTGGAATTCTTTTTAAGGGAGAATGTATGTTTTCAAGGTTGATATGTTGCAAATTGTTTAATTTCGAACTTCACACATTGAGAACAATGAGGGACAATAGGAGCAAAATTAAATTCCTAGATTTACAAGTTTTAAAACTGCTACTTTCTCAAGTTCATAAATCATCAAGTTTGAATGTGATTACATTCTCATGTGTCTAAATTCTTCGCCAAATTTTCAAGTGAGGCAATTCACAAGTCCTCAAATTCTCATTCCCCAATTGCCAAACATCTTAATTCTTATACAAGTAAATTCTCAATTTCTTAATTTCTCATGTCCCCAAATTATCAAGTCTCTAAATTCTCATCCCCCAACTTCCAAATTTCCTAATTCTCATAGAAGTAAATTTTCAGTTCCTCAAATTCTGATGTGCCCAATTTCTCAAGTCTTCAAATTCTCATCCCCCTACTTCCAAATCTCCTAATTCTCATATAAATAAATTCTCAATGTCCTGAATTCTCAAATCCCCAAATTCTCACGTCCCCAATTTCTCAAGTCCACCAATTTTCATCTCCCCATTTCCCAAACCCCCAATTTCTCAAGTCTCCCAATTCTCATCTCCCCAACTCTCAAACCCCCAAATTTCCTAATTCTCATCCCTTCAACTTCTAATCTCCCAATTTTCACACAAGAAAATTCTCACATCCCCAATTTCTCAAGTTTCCCAATTCTCATCTCCCCAACTCCCAAATCCCAAGACTCTCAAAACCCCCAATTTCTCAATTCTCCCAATTCTCATCTCCTCAACTCCCAAATCCCTAAACTCTCAAACCCCCAAATTCCAAATTTTCTAATTCTCATCCCTCCAACTTCTAATCTCCCAATTCTCACACAAGAAAATTCTCACATCCCCAATTTCTCAAGTCCCCCAATTCTCATCTCCCCAACTCTCAAAACCCCCAATTTTTCAATTTTCCCAATTCTCATCTCCCCACCTCCCAAACCCCCAAACTCTCAAAACCCCCAATTTCTCAAGTTTCCCAATTCTCATCTCCCCAACTCCCAAATCCCTAAACTCTCAAACCCCAAATTCTCCTCTCACCAAATCAACCACCCAAGTCCCAAACCGCCTCTCCAAATTCCACCTCAACCTCCCAAATTGTCAAACACCCAAATTCCCGTGTTCTCAAATTGTCAAACAGCCAAATCCCGAAGAAGTTATTTGACAAGCATTCAGAGCTCAGCAAGGAATAAACGCTCGGCGAGTACTCGTATATCGTGGCACAGTCACCAAGAGCATCAAGCAAGGCTAATACCAAGCATATTTCGCGAGGTTTGCGTCCAGAGTTGGCGCGAGTGTTAAGTCAGCGAATAAAGGTTTTAACCGCGTATGATGAAGGACGGTGTTAACTGGCCGGACACGAGGTTTTCGCGTAATATCCAGCCGGGCAGATCCGTGTGCCCGATAACACCGTTGTTGATCGTTACGATTTGATTTATTTGCAATTACATCCGCGTTGCGAACGACCCTCGCGGCATCGCGTTTATCCGGTGAATTATTAGCGTGCACGAGAGATCGCCACGGGAAAATCCGGGATCGTCGAGTTTCATTTTCGACCGAAACCATTGAAATTCGAATCGGTCGTAAATGACTATTTGGACGCGATTCAATTTAATGCGATTTGATTCGATGCTTTTTCGTCTGTCGTTCAATTTGGTACTGGGTACAATTACAGTTGAAATGCCGCATGTTGTAATTTGTGTAAGTCGATGTGTTAGTATTCGATTCGGTATGCAATTCGATGAGGTGAAATTTAGGATAGTGTTAATTATCGTGTTATAGTTCGCGTTATAGTTTGATGCTTTGCTATTCGGGGCATTACAATTCAATATGATGCACTTTCAATTTATAGTGAATTAGTACGGTGTAGTGCAACGCGTTGCAGTTCAATGCATTGCAATTCGACGCGTTAGAATTCAATGCACTGAAACTCTACGCATTATAATTCGACGCACCGTAATTCAACGCATTATATTTCAACTCATTGCAATTCGGCGCGCTGTCACTCCAAGCAGTGCAACTCAACGCACTGCAATTCGACTCATTGCACTTCGACGCGTTGCATTTCAACTCGTTGCAATTCGACGCGTTGTTACTCCACGCACTGCACTTCGACGCGTTGCAGTTCAACTCGTTGCAATTCGACGCGCTGTGACTCCACGCACTGCAATTCGACGCGTTATAATTCGACTCATTGCACTTCGACGCGTTGCATTTCAACTCGTTGCAATTCGACGCGTTGTTACTCCACGCACTGCACTTCGACGCGTTGCAGTTCAACTCCTTGCAATTCGACGCGCTGTCGCTCCACACACTGCAACTCAACACACTGCAATTCGACGCGTCATAATTCGACTCACTGCACTTCGACGCGTTGCATTTCAACTCGTTGCAATTCGACGCGTTATTACTCCACGCACTGCACTTCGACGCGTTGCAGTTCAACTCCTTGCAATTCGACGCGCTGTCGCTCCACACACTGCAACTCAACACACTGCAATTCGACGCGTCATAATTCGACTCATTGCACTTCGACGCGTTGCATTTCAACTCGTTGCAATTCGACGCGTTGTCATTCCACGCACTGCAATTCGGCGCACCACAATTCAACGCGTTATAATTCAACTCATCGCAATTCGACGCACTGCACTTCAACTCCTTGCAATTCAACGCGTTGTGAGTCAACACACCGCTACTCGACGCATTGCAATTCAACGCGTTATAATTCAACGCACCGCAACTCAACACCTTATAATTCGACTCGTTCAGATTCAATGTGCATTGCGTAACAATTCAACTGCAATTCACTACGCTGTAATTCGACGCGTTGCAATTTAGCGTGTCGCAATACAACGTGCGGCAATTCGCATTGCAATTGAACATGTAGCGATACGTTGCAATTCGCCACATTGCAACGCAACATGTTGGACCTCGCAATTCGTGTTGCAATTCGACGTATTAAAATGTAACTGCAGCTCACTGCAATTTGACTGCAATTCGACGTATTGAAATGTAACTGCAGCTCATTGCAATTCGCCTGCAATTCGAGTTGCAATTCCACGCATAATTTTGAGCGTAGCGAATGCACACTGCAGCGGAACATACAGTAATTCCACACATACCGATTTTATAGGCTTAAATGCTTCTACAATTCAAGACGACACTTCTAAATTTAATTTAATTTAATAATTTACGTTTAATTTTCATCCAAATCCCTTATTTATCAAGTTATTTAAAACTCTTTCACAATGTTTCGAAGATTACATTCTCCCATACACAAAATCTTGTAATACAGGAAGTTAATTCTCTGATCTCCTAAAAAATCAGCTAATAATCTCTTTACCGTTCAAGTTTCACCCACGTTCGAAGCTCGAGTAGTCAACAATAAGACGTTTGATTTACGGTTAAGTCTAAGACCGCGCATCGGTGTCTGAAGGACTTCTATCAGCTCTCGGCGATAAACGCAGGATCCATGAACTATCCTTCGTCCTGGTGAGACGTTTATTTCGTTCGAAGCGAGAAAACTCCTCCCAGCTCCCTTGTTATGGAGAAACGTAGAACGTATCTACACCGAGTGGCCGGTAGAAGCAAAAAAAAAGACAGTTAAGACCGGCCAGACAATAAAAGTTGTCGTAAAGTTTGTCACTGCGTACGCGATGCCGGTGGTTCGTTAATTTCTCAGATTTATTGACGCGTAAACTTGCTGAATCAATGTCTCCCCCGCGGCCTTCCGAAACATTATGAACCGTTACGTAAGCCTAATCTTCCTTGCTTTATGCATCTTCTTCGGGAACCGACAATTTAGACGTCGGCTCAAGTGGAAGTTCGTTCTGCGTTTTATTGTTGTCTGGCAAAAAATTCTTTACAGGTGTTTGCTGACTTTGAAATTCTTTGCTCAAATAATTAAACGCAAAGTTGCAAATTGTATGATTGTACGATAATTGTGTGAATAGACACCTGTTATGATGACAGGTTATATCAGAAAATTTGAGAAAGCTTCCAAATTTAAGATTTTAATTTTCTCACCAAATGAAACCGAGACGAAATGACATAGATTTTAACAAGAGTGGTAGGTTTAAATCTACAGACTCATATATTTAAATTTCTGTTCAAATGGCTTCAACGAGCACATTGGCAGATAGCAGCTAATGTTAGGATCCCACCGTGTTGCAGGTCCCCGCACGAGGAGGGTGAAGAGGTCCGACAATCGAGGCAGCACCGGCACCCCCGAAGAAAAGCGTCCCAGAACAGCATTCAGCGGCGAACAACTAGCAAGGTTGAAGCGAGAGTTCGCCGAGAATCGATATTTAACCGAAAGAAGAAGACAACAGCTCTCGAGGGATCTAGGTCTGAACGAGGCGCAGATCAAGATCTGGTTCCAGAACAAGAGGGCGAAAATCAAGAAAGCTAGCGGACAGAAGAACCCGCTCGCCCTTCAGTTGATGGCGCAGGGTCTTTACAATCATTCGACGGTACCATTGACGAAGGAGGAAGAGGAACAGGCGGCCGAACTTCAAGCGAAATGATGACAGTCGCTGGGATCACCTTCGATTCAGTAACGAAGTCGTTTTCTTTGGGGGTTTCGGGATAGAGGGAGGAACTTTTCGACTGGGACATTTTTATAGAAAGTTCATTTTGAGAGGAACAATTTTTTGTCGGTCACGTTGATTGCTGATGTGAAGAGTTTTGGTGAGATACATTTTTAGTCCAGGTCTTATTTTTTCTTATGAAAGAATACGTCTTTGGTTGGTCACATTCTTTGCTGAAGAAATGAACATTTTTAGTGAAACACACTGAGTCTAGGTCTTATTTTTTCTTATAGAAGAATACATTTTTAATCGACCACAGTCATTATTGAAAAAATTAATATTTTTGGTGAGACACACTTTGAGTCCAGGTCTTATTGTTTCTTACAAAAGAATACATTTTTAATCGACCACATTCATTATTGAAAATATTAATATTTTTAGTGAGACACACTTTGAGTCCTGGCCTTACTTTTTCTTACAAAAGAATTATATTTGTAGTCAGTCATGTTGATTGCTGAAGATATGAATACTTTTAGTGAGACACACTTTGAGTCCAGACCTTATTTTTTCTTACAAAAGAATTACATTTTAAATCAGTCACATTGATTGCTGAACAAATGAATATTTTTAGTGAGACACTTCGTGTCCAGATCTTACTTTTTTTCTTATAAAATTATTCTTCTATATTTCTCACTCGAATCTAAACATTAAAATATTCATTTAAATACATACAGTACACAACTACAATGATGAAGTATGATTTCAGGTGTTAAGAAGTTGACTCATAACTGATTTAATATTTCATACCCATAAAAATGAAGGCAAACCAAACTTTGTGATAACGTAGACAAACTTTCTGACTGACTTAACAACGAACATTTGATTAATGGATAGACTATGTATACAGGTGAATAGCAGTCAACGTGTTCCTTGATATTTGCACTTCTGCTCAAACGATTTCCAAAGTAGTAAAATTTGAAAATCGTCGGAAGTCACTCGCGTAATAAAAATTGAAAGACTGGTATATATATCCGTAAAAGTATTGGACTTTCAACGACGATACGTCGTAACAGAGCTTCCCCGTTCTATCCGGATCGAAGAAATTCGCAGGCGGAAGAGAGTTGTTTAAAAGTGGAAAAGCTCGTGAGTTACCGGAGCCGCGAAACGCGAATGATAGCGATCGTGCACGCGGCGATCGCAACACGATAACTATCATTCCACGGCGTCGTTTATGAGGAAAGACTTGTTTGTTAGCACGCGCGTTCCTAGCGATGAATAATCTCGTATTTAAACGAGGAAAAGAAGGAAAGAACCGTTTCGATCGTGCGTCACGATAACAGCGTGATAATTCGAGTCAGGACGAAATGGGTTTTGTACAGTGCCATTTGTACAGTTTTCTTGCGATCGTTAGAATCGAATATCAGTCGTTCTCTGAAGGAACCAGTATTCAGAACAGAGAGAAAGAAAGAGTGAAACTTCACCAAGAACGTGTGAGAGAGAGAATGAGAGAAAGAATGAGATGCTAGTTCTGTTTCGTTAATTTATTGTAAAAATGTAAGATATCAATTGCTATGTGCAATAGAACCTATACATGTACGAAGAGAAATAGAAACCTATGTATAGGTATATATATATGAATATAAAGATAAATCGTCGTGTAAATAAAGCGCAACTTTAGCGAGAACGTCGTCTCGATAGACTGTTTAAAAGTAACTTAGTTATTTATTTACCTATGCTAATAAGGAAGGCTCGATATCGAGCACTCCGTAAATTGTAAGAATTATTTAAAAATCGAAATTAAATATTCCCACTATCACGAACCACTATTTATTTTTATCTTCGTATCCTTCCCTTATTCACTATTGGAGATCCTTGCGCCTAAGGACACCGACACTGTCGTCGCGATAAACGCCCGATTAAATAATTACGCCGTACCGACCGAATCCAGGTAATTAGTAATACTGCAGGGTAAAGCAGATACCATTTTTTCCTGCATACTTGACTTCGCCTTTTACGTCCTTACACATTTGTGAGCGTTGGGGTAGCTCACTTTTAATTCAACACAACTCTTATAGTTCCAAGACTTCAAATTTTTTCATTTTTAAATACGTAAACTGAAATTACAAGCTTGTCAGATTATTAAATTATAGTCGAATTCATAAACTTAGAAGATGCTAGTTTCACACCTCTAGGAACCTCAAGTTTTACATCTCTAGAAGCCTCAAGTTAAAAATTCTTAAATTTTGCCATTTTCCAAAAATCTTTTCTAGCAGCCTAAAGAAATTTGAGCAAAAAAATTCACATCCCAGAAAATAGTATAAGTATGTGCCCCAAGTAGAATAAAATGGCGAGAAAGAGAGTGGAAAGAAGAGAAGGTGATCGAACGTTAACGCGGTGGACCAATCGTTGCCGTGAAAGCGGTACTAGACGCGTGCTAATTAACACGGGGGAAGGAAATCAATCGAGGCAGATGTTTATCGAAATACATCGACGACAGAGAAGCAGAGCAGAGGGGAAACCGGAGAGAGAAAGATGGTCGAGGCGATCGTTGTCCGGATAAAAGGTACGGACATGTACGAAGAGAAATAGAAACCTATGTATAGGTATATATATATGAATATAAAGATAAATCGTCGTGTAAATAAAGCGCAACTTTAGCGAGAACGTCGTCTCGATAGACTGTTTAAAAGTAACTTAGTTATTTATTTACCTATGCTAATAAGGAAGGCTCGATATCGAGCACTCCGTAAATTGTAAGAATTATTTAAAAATCGAAATTAAATATTCCCACTATCACGAACCACTATTTATTTTTATCTTCGTATCCTTCCCTTATTCACTATTGGAGATCCTTGCGCCTAAGGACACCGACACTGTCGTCGCGATAAACGCCCGATTAAATAATTACGCCGTACCGACCGAATCCAGGTAATTAGTAATACTGCAGGGTAAAGCAGATACCATTTTTTCCTGCATACTTGACTTCGCCTTTTACGTCCTTACACATTTGTGAGCGTTGGGGTAGCTCACTTTTAATTCAACACAACTCTTATAGTTCCAAGACTTCAAATTTTTTCATTTTTAAATACGTAAACTGAAATTACAAGCTTGTCAGATTATTAAATTATAGTCGAATTCATAAACTTAGAAGATGCTAGTTTCACACCTCTAGGAACCTCAAGTTTTACATCTCTAGAAGCCTCAAGTTAAAAATTCTTAAATTTTGCCATTTTCCAAAAATCTTTTCTAGCAGCCTAAAGAAATTTGAGCAAAAAAATTCACATCCCAGAAAATAGTATAAGTATGTGCCCCAAGTAGAATAAAATGGCGAGAAAGAGAGTGGAAAGAAGAGAAGGTGATCGAACGTTAACGCGGTGGACCAATCGTTGCCGTGAAAGCGGTACTAGACGCGTGCTAATTAACACGGGGGAAGGAAATCAATCGAGGCAGATGTTTATCGAAATACATCGACGACAGAGAAGCAGAGCAGAGGGGAAACCGGAGAGAGAAAGATGGTCGAGGCGATCGTTGTCCGGATAAAAGGTACGGGGCGGGTCGATTCTCATTCAGCATTTGGCGCATGCTTCCACCCCCGAGCCGTATTTCAGGCTCGTGCAAACCCCATGAAAAGCCCCTCCTGCTGGCGCGATATCGATTGATTTACAGTCGAAAGGTGGCCATCGTTGATATCAAACCAGCCACGCCTACGTTATACCGTAAACGCGATGCGTGTGTTGCACGGTGAGCGGTGTCGGTTAACGCACTTTATACATCATTTAACCTTCGCCGAGCCGGTGCTGTTTCAACAGCACTCTGCTCCCACGACTTGTTACCAACGTTTGCTAAATTCCTTCTGTACAATCGTACACGCTACGAGATGCTCCAACATGGTATGCTTTCTGTTCGAGGGAAAATTCTATGTTCGATAAAAGTGAAATTTAGGGATTTATTAGGGATGGAAAATCAAGGGTGCGGACACTTATGGTTCCTCATCATTTCATTTACTACTTATGGTTCTTCATTATCAGGAAAATTTAAGAATTCAAGGATTTAACTGCTTGTTGATTTTTGGGAATTAAATTGTTCAGAAAGTGAATTCAAGAACTGACACTTTTATATATTTAAAGATTTGAAAGTTGAAGTACAAAATGTCTTGAAAATTTCAAAATTACTTAATTTGATTTGAAAATAAAGAATACACTTCTTCACGAATTATAACTTCACTGTATGTCAGATAAAAATACTGAAATCCTACAAAATTTAAACAACCCATAAATCATTAAAGTACAAAAAATGATATCAGCTAGCAAAGATAAATTTCCTGCATCCGTCGTGTATCGACACACCCCAATTTTTCTCTTTCGACGAAACGGTCAAGGATTGTTGCCCATCCTTGACGTCCAAGGATCCTAACTCATCAGCAGCGTACCTGGTAAGTGATAGACCGCATTAACGTACAAGACACACCGGCAAAAGAAACGGACATCGTGAATGATCAGCGACAATTATTTTTTACAAGAGCTTCCGTTAAGGGACAGGCAGTTGGTACCTGAATGATCCTGCGATATTTCATGGCCTTCGTAAAAATAAAACCTTGCTATGAGTTTAGACACGAGATTAACGAGCGCGTCTTTCAGACACGAGCTTCCTTTTTATTATCTTAATTGATGGATGAGACTTTTCGGTTTCGAACTAGAAACTTCAATTGGACCCTGAATAGATTAACCTCCTTCTCTATTTTCGCGAGATCTGTTAGGAACTGTTAAAAATTTTATAATTTCCATTTCGAGGCAATTGTTAAAAAATAGTTAAGACTGTAAATGGAACACATACACACATATAATAGACACACACATGTTTCTCTTTTATATTACTCATAGTGATATCTCCAATAATTCCAACCCGAACACAAAGCCAGCTAAAACACAAAGGCAGTTCTTTCCTCAAAAAGGTTAACGTGCCCAACAGTATTCAGAAATAAGAATCATCAGATTACGAAAACAAAACGGAAACGAATGTCACGTAGCTGACCCGCATCTATTTAGCGTGCAGCATCGACGTATCAATCGATGACACCGGTCGTATCGTTGTCCACTATCTAACCCGAATTCGTTCGATCGAGTTTCCAGGGTAGTGGAACGTCCGTCGAATGAATGACGAGTAACGAATCTCGTAGACGGATGCATAATTCCATGTTGGCCCCAGGTTACCGTCTGTCCCCGCTCCACAGTCGCGTCACAGTAGACGCACGGTTGCTCAGGAATGTCGAACGGGTCGGTCACAGGGTTAATGTCTGGCCTGGGCTGCCTCCTCGCGTGCCTCCGTCGACTTTTCTCTCCGGTTGTATCTCATTTGTTAAGATTCCGGGACAAAGGAGGCGGGAGAATCGTCTTTATGGATCTGCTGTGCTTGACCCGAGCCAAGCCTCGACGGACAGACAGAAGCGCGAGTCTGTCAAGTCGCCGCGATTCTAATCTGGACAGGGACGTATCGGCCGTTCGGCTACTCCTGGCCACGGTGTAATCGGGAATACGGCTTGTAACCGGCATTACCAGGCAACGAGGATCGACGATTTCCATGAGTATCGCTCGACGAATACCATTAACGCGATCTGTTATCCCGATCGTACGTCAAGCTGTTCGCTGAACCGCCGGATAAATTCCGTTGCATCGATCGGTAGTGCGTTCACACTTTGTTGCGTTCGATCCGTGTTACGATTCGCCGAGGGTCGTCGATGGAAACCCCGTCGCATCTGATACCAGACGCTCAGCATTCAAGGATCGACGGGATTTGAAAAATAGGTCGATCGGTAGTCTCTGTTTCCGTTTCACTGGAATAACTTGGGGACATTATGACACTGAAAGAAATTCGAACATACCTGAATCACGACTCGATTCACTTGTGAATGTGAACGTTCACATAATTTATGAAAGCGAATATGTTTGAAACATAACCCTAAATATAAACAAAGATATCTCAGAAATCTTTATGTCTCTAGATAGATGTACATCCCTCGATACTCACATCCCTAAATGACTAGTACTCTTCCTATCAATATAGACTAACTTATCCTCCACCTTACATGACTCTCCATCCGCGTATCAGTAAATTCCAGTATCTTGCTAATTTCTGTATCTCGCTAACTACACCTACATCATTAGCGTCCCCAATATCTTCTCCAGAGAATAAAGAACATATTTATCGTAAATATAGAAGTTCCACGAAATGGACTACATTCCGTAACACGGTATCTCGCGTCATAAATCGCAAGTAAATCGCTCGCGGGGCTCAATAGAGTAACGCGGAAGGGAATTATTGAGAGTCCACTAATCGGCCGTAAATAACGTCGTAGAATTCGAACGCGATAAGCCGGCGGAAAAAGGCGAAAATGGTTTATAGATAAGGAGACGCGTTATCAATCGACGTTGCACTTACTAACAGTGCGCATACCTCTCGTCGCGTTCCTGGCGTACCATCGATACACAGCCGGACAACATGAAGCCTCGATCGTATCTGCACGATTTTTCAGCGATCGACTTTCTGTCCAACTTTCACGTGCTATTTTGACTCCTGTTTCGAATTTCGTCGGCGGATTAAGAGAAGGATGGCCGTGAGAGATCGGTAGACCGAGATCTTCAAGGATGATCGTCGTTAGTGAACGGGGCATTAGTCGTACGGTAGCCGATGCCGATGGATACGCTGACCGTCAGTGGGGAGCCAACGTGGAAAGCAGCGGAGATCTGATGGTGACGGGTATTAAAATTAATGGTCAGCCGTGTACGCTGACGTGTCACCTTATACC